CAATACCACAATTAAACAGTGACAGAGTCCATCTCCCAATGTCTCCTCCAGGCCCTGTGGGATTCCTCCATGGCCAGGCAACCACACACCTGCTTTCACTCACTACAGATTCCTTTGCATTTTAGAGGTTTTCATAAATGGAATCATACAGTCTGAACTTATTTTTTGGCCTGGCTTTTCCACTCAGCACCGTTAGGTTGAGGTTCATTCCTGTTGTTGCTAACTGTATCAATAGATCATCACTTTATTGCTGCACAGCATTCTACGTTTGCACATACTACTATTTAGTTTTCCATTTACCTGTTGCTGGGCATCTGGGTTTCCAGTGTTTGGCTATTCCAAGTAGAGCTGCTATGAACACTTGTGTATAAATCTCTACAGGGCAGTGGTTCTCAACCTAATGCCACAACCTTTTGGAACCCTTTAATACAGTTCCTCATGTTGTGGTGACCCCCAACCATAAAATTATTTTCGTTGCTACTTCATAACTGTAGTTTTGCTATTGTTATGAATCATAATGTAAATATGTTTTCCAATGGTCTTAGGCTCTACAGCAGCAGTTCTCAATTTGTGGGTCATGATCACAGGTTGAGAACTGCTAGCAGGGTCGCCTAAGACCACCGGAAAACACAGATATTTACATTATGATTCATTATGTGGGGGATCGGTCACCAATAGCTTTCCCTGGAGGGGCGGTAGGGAGCTGCAGGAGGTGGTGGTCCCCACTGGTGTTTGACTGAGCAGATGCCGTCAGAAGAGTCTTCCAACTGGTAGGATGTCCTTTGTGCCAGGGAACAGGTGTCCCTCAGAGCTTTCTTGTCGGTGCCTATTGGCAGTCCTGGGCTTCTGCACACAGGAATGATGGGAAGCAAGGGATCTCCGGGTCCCTACAGTGGCATTCCTCAAGCCTCCACACCCCTCGCCTATGTCACCTTCTTTACACCTCTTGGTCTTCCCCAGTTGTTGAGTCCCTTCCATGTGCCAGGCGTTAACAATAGGAGTGACAGGTCTTGTGGATAAAAAGAAAGGAAAACCACCAAATATAGCACCATGTGTTTAATCCCTCTGAGAAATAGGTGTGTAAGTGAACAAGCACTAGACAGGATGTATCAATACAAATGGTTCCGACATGTAATAATGTGACACATTGGGACACTATTTTACACCAGCTAGTTGTGGCAAAAACCAAGAAGTGAGACAGTACTAAGTGCTGACAAGGACGTGGAGCAAACGAGAACACTTGTTCATCGCCGCTGCGGGTATAAATGGGTACACTCATTTTTGGAAACACCTGTCACTGGATAGGAAACTGAAAATGCACATACCCCAACGTCCATAACTTCCACCCTAAGCAACAAAGCCTAGAGACACTTGCAGTGCATCCACATGTTATATTCATGTACACATATTAACCAGCCAGTGTCTATCACAAGCCAAAGGTATAAGTTATGGTGTATCCACACATGGAGTGCCATGTAAGCACCTGTGAACTGCAGCATCACACATCAACCCAGATAAATGTGTGTGCTGAACAACAAAAGCAAGTCACAGAAGGATACACACTGCATTTTTCAATTTATGTAAAGTTTAAAAACAGGCAAAACCAAGTTTGAGGTAAAACTATAGAGAAACACACACAAGGTACAGTATGTACACTGAGGAGGAACAGCAATTTAGTCTTATTCTGTCAGCTTGGGGTACAGAACAAATACCACAGACTGAGCAACTTAAATAACAGACATTTATTTCCTCCCAGTCCTGGAGGCTGGAAGTCCGAGATCAGGGTGTCAGCAGGGCTGGTTTCTTCTGAGAGCTCTCTCCTTGATTTGCAGATGACTGTCTAGTCCTTGTATCTTCACAAGGTCTTCTCTGTGTGTGTGTCAGTGTACTAATCTCTTCTTTTTGTGAGTCATGTTAGATTAAAGCCCATTCTAGTTACATATTAACTTAATTTCCCCTTTAAACACCTTATTTCCAAATTTAGTCACTTTATGAGGTACTAGGGGTTGGGAATTCGACACAGAATTTTAGGAGGGCATAATTCAGCCCATAGTACCTCCCCATCTCTCTGGGATATGGGATAGTCACGTAGCTGAATATAATTACCTTTAACAAAGAGCTAATTAGCACATATTCTGTTCCAAGGAATCAAAGCCAAGTTTGGAAGGACATTCTGAACTGACAGAATGATAAAGTGTTGAGACTTACCCACTCAGCACTGTATAGAAAGAGTGAAGTGTGGACTGAAGGAGCAGCGAGGTGCTGACAACACAGAATTCAATTAGAGTGCTGACAGAGGGAGAAGCTGGCCTGAACAAGTGACGGGGTCCATGTGGACGTGCACTAGACCCGGCTCCTGGCTGTAAGGGGGATATGATTCCTGAGTGTCCCCAGCATCAGCAGAGGGCCAAGCACAGAGTAGGCAAACCTGTTGCTGAAACAACATGTCTCATATTATCCTCCACTTGTATTAGAACTCTACTGTGAGCATACAAAATAGTCTCAGAAAATAATTGGTCATCTAATCTAATTAACTTTGCCAAAATCATTTAGGAGACGATCCACTGGTCCCAGAAATACTGCATTTGGTATTTGGTTGAAATGGCCAATATTTGGTCTTTTTCACCTACAGCAATGGCCATTTCACCTTGGTTAGACCTAATTCAATGTCTGGTTTACATTTTTCTTTTTTTAAATATATTTTATTGATTTTCTACAGAGAGGAAGGGAGAGGGACAGAGAGCCAGAAACGTTGATGAGAGAGAAACATCGACCAGCTGCCTCCTGCACACCTCCCACCGGGAATGTGCCCGCAACCAATGTACATGCCCTTGACCGGAATCGAACCTGGGACCCCTCAGTCCGCAGACCGACGCTCCAAATGAGCCAAACCGGCTTCGGCTACGTTTTTCTTTTTAAGAGAAAGAAAATGACAAAGCAATCCACTGAGTGAAAACCAAGTTGTATTTGCAGATCAAATGGTCATGTAAGGAGGAACCTATTCCAAAATCACAACTACTTCTCCAAATAGGCAATCTTAAGAGCAAAAGATTCTATTTCATTATAACCAAGAAAGGTAGGCAGCAAGGGCATACAGCCTTCTGTAGTGATAGAAGTTGCAGTAGATATATGAAACTCTTTTTAAAGATTTTTTAATTGATTTTTTAAGAGAGAAAGGAAGAGAGAGAGACAAAGAGAAACATCGATACAAGAGTGAAACATTGATCTGCCCTCTTCAGGCCCCCTCCTGGAGATTGAGCCAGCAACCCAGGATTGTGCCCTGGCTAGGAATTGAACTGGCAACCTTGTGCTGCACGGGATGATGCTCAACCCAAGCCACCAGCCAGGTCTGACACTTTCATTTTCAGTGTAAAAGGGCTTATGATATTAAAAAGTGTTATTGCTACACTAGAGGCCCAGTGCACAGATTCATGCACCAGTGGGGTCCCTCAGCCTGGCCTGTGCCCTCGCAATCCGGGATCCCTCAGGGGATGTTGGAGAGCCAGTTTCGGCCCTATCCCCGCAGGGCAGGCCGAGGGACCCCACTGGTGCACGCATCCGTGCATCAGGCCCCTAAGTATGCATATAAGGTCTTTAGTTAATCTCTTCCTGCCCTCCCCTCTCCCTTTCCCTATGAGATTAATCATTCTGTTCCATGTTTCCATGCTTGTACATTGAGCGTCTCTATGGTGGTTATTGTGCATCATAGCTTCTAGCCGGTTGGCTGGTCACTTAGGCATATATGTGTATGTGTGTGTGTGTGTGTGTATAATATTTTATTGGCTGGCTTGCAATGAAGCTTCCCCACAGCTCCACTAGTAAATGGCCCCATTGTGATTATTTATAAATCAGTTTTATTGTCAGTGCTGGGCTAATCAAAGATCAGCTCATGCCTAAAAGCGTGACTAAAAAATAATGCACTGTTGCATAATAGGATTTGTGAAACTTTTGTCATGCTATTTTTATCCGTATACAATATTCAACCACCTCACATTGAAAAGAACAACTTAAAATAAGGTGCTAATCCTGGGCCACATTTATACAAACAAAAAGCATCAAAGGGAATGCTGTTCTTGGTTTACTTGCACTGAAAATACATCAATGCTTATTAATTTGGAACAAAGATCCTATGAGTAAACAGTCACTTTTAAACAAGCCCCCAAACTATTTGTAGCCCTTCAAATATCAAGAACTTAAGGCATGCACTCTGTCTATAAAACTGTTTCTGGAACATTTTTCAGACATCTAGACTAGAGAATAGTCTGAAATAGCAACAGGCATAGAAGCGTTCTCCACTTAAAGAGAAAATAGGAACTTTATGTCTATTAACTCTGACATATTGCTATTTTCACGGAACCTAGAGTGATGAAAGCACATAATCTTTCTCAGATAATACCGGGAGGCTCATTAAAGATATGACTAAGATGATCAGCACAGTACTTTTGAGTTATGCAAATACACAAAGCAATCTTTGAAGCAGCATTACTTTATCTCAAAGAGCATCAGCCAATGCTACAAAATAGCAAAACCCAGAAGTGGCAGAAATCACTCCCTTCCTAAGTGCTGGGCTAGAGATCCTATGAGAGTAGCACAGCCAGTCCAGCCTCTTCCAGAGGACCAGAAATGTGGGCTATTTCCACTGCACTATGGACAAGATGAGGCTCTATGATGCATCATGGAGTTGAATGCTAAGAGAGCCTCAGGGTCCCTGATGGGGCCCTCCATGCTGGGCAGCTCTACCTGGTTCGAAGCTCCGTAGGCAGGTGGTTTCAGGAGGAAGAGAGCATGGTTATTTTCCTTGCTCATTCCTCTTAGAATTCTCCAACCCGGGTCCCCCGACACCCTTGGTCATTCTGAACCAACAGATTCGGAATGGAGGAGAGCTTGGCTAGCTGCCTGTTCAACCCACAACTCAGTCTGCCCATCAGGATAGTCTAACCACAAACTGCATCAGGATATGCATGACTCTCAAGCTAAAGAAGTACAAGATGAGGGTTTGGGTTATTTTTCACTTTTATTCCAATGGATCCTGTAAGTGTACGCAGCCTAATGAATCCCCCCATCAGCTCTCCCTTGCTGGTGGTGCACTTAGATTTTAGAGGTGCCCTGGGGTCACACCATCAGATAAGCCGCGGTGCCACTTGCCCACATGAGACTGAATGAGAAGAGAACAGAGATCTTTTTGGTACAAAACATTTTAATAACGTATCTTTGGATAAATGCAATTGTCTTCTCCCCTAATTTCCTAGATCAGGCACTTGAAAATGAGAAATATCAGGAATGGACAACCCGGTCCATTAAAATTCATTGGATTTGCTTTCCTAAGAAAATACAAACAGTGTGGGAGAAAATGGCATTTAGTGTTTGCCAACGGAGTTAGTAAGACTGATAATGACTAAAATATCTTTAATGTGCTAGAGCTTGATTCACAGATGCAGAAGTTAGAGAAATTTCATTTGTTGTAAATTAGCTTTTTCTTATATTCTGTATTTATGATTAAGTAGTTTCTTTAGTTTGAAATGGTTTGATTAATATCACCCTTTTTGGGAAAAACTTTTGATAGTCTCTGGCCTGGCCTAGGTACCTCACCTGTTCATTTGAATATTAGTTATGGCTTCAATAGCTGACGGATAGTTTGGTTCTACAAGGAACCACTTTAGGTTCTTATCTAAAGCTAGTAGGGCGAATATAACCTAAGTGGGTCAAATTCAATTTAAAAATCTTACTTGTGCTAGTCAAAAGGCAGTCAAAGGCAACTTGGTCTATAGCCTGGGAGGTCTGGGCCAGATCTCACGCTGTCACACCATCAGCATGAACAGACATGGCACTGGGGAGGGCTGCAGTGCCTGGGCAGCAGGGCTGCAGAGCCTGCCCCACGAGGCCGGCCTTTCTGTGGAGTCCTGCTTCAGAGCAGCTTCCCACAGTGCCCACCCCTGATCCCAGTTTCTCTGTAAAGATGTTTGACTCAGCAGCAGCCCAGGGGAGTGGGAATAAGGCATGATGTGAGAGAACCACTCCTGTCTCCTGTGACAGCAAAGGTTGGCAACATTGTCTAGAAGCCTGAGCAAGTCTAGTTTCTGCAACTATCTCACAGTCATTCCTTTAACAGCAAAACTAAACTACTCTGAAAAAGAATACATTTTGAAATCCTTTGCCAGATCTATAAAAAGGAAAAAAAAGATTTCAACAATTAAAAAAAATCCTTTAAAAACATTGTATCAACAACCTTCTTAAGAAATAAGAAACACTTGGTTTAAGACACTTGGTGACTTCCTTATATCATGCATCAGGGATGGATACACACTGACATTTTACTGCTGAAATCTACTTGGTAACAATGGTAGAAAGAGTTCTGTCAACAAGGTAATTGTTCTGGAAAGAAGAGTTACAGCTTTTTCCAAAATGTCAAAAGAATAAGGATGTAAACATACATTACTTGAAATAGTAATGCAACAATATTAATTCAGTTAAATAAATAAAAGTGGCAACAACTTTATGGCAATTTTTAAACACAAAAATGTAGCTCAACGATATCTTAAAATATATAACTGCTCCAAACAGAAGCAGTCATACTTAGCACAAACCAAGAGCATGAAGCAGAGTGCTGGGAGACGAAGCAGCTCCACGCCTGACCTTGTTCATCTATGAACAGAAATGCCGATGGGTCTTCTGGTCCGAAACAGTCGCCAAGAAGGGAGAGGCAGCTGCACTAAACACCAGGCGTAAGGCTGTCTTTTGTCAGTTTTCTTTTTTCTTCAAGTGTGCGCTTAAATATTTTCTTTAGGGTATTGTAAACTATTGGTCCATTTTCAGAATCAAAATTAACCTGGTGACAAAGAAAATTTACATTCAGGACACTGTAACAAGAATTTTAACAGTCTATTTTTGGAGAGAAGAAATGGGATGGGGGAAAAATAACACTTATTAGCAAAATCATATATAAAAAATTTTAAATTAATGAACTTTTTAAAATCCTCACCCGAAGATATTTTCCCACTGATTTTTAGAGAGTGGAAGAGAGAAGGAAAGACAGAAAAAAATGGTGAGTTGAGAGAAACACATTGATTAGTTGCCTCCTGTATGTGCTCTGACCCAGGGCCCGGGCCAGGGCGGAGCCTGAAACCCAGACATGTGGCCTTGACTGGAATTGAACCCGGGACCTTTCAGTCCGTAGGCCACACTCTATCCACCAAGCCAAACTGGTCAGGGAAAAATTATACATAAATTTAAAAGCATATAAAATATGCTAGGCCAGTGTGTCTCAGTGGCTGAATGGCGACCTAGGAACCAGGAGGTCACAGCTCAATTCCTGGTCAGGGCGCAGGCCCAGGTTGAGGCCTTGATCTCCAGTGTGGGGAGTGCAGGAGGCAGCTGATCAATAATTCTCTCTCATCATTGATGTTTCTCTCTCTCTCTCCCTCTCCCTTCCTGTCTGAAATCAATAAAAATATATTTTAAAAAAGTATACACAATACATTTCACACATTCATTTTAATTACATATTAGAATTGCCAATTACATCAATGACAAAATGATCAATGAAAACCCAAGACTTAAATCTAGTGCCTGTATATATAGTCTACTTAGACACTGTGAGGAAGCTGACTGAGTGTGCAGTGTGTTTTGGAGCCAGAACCTGGTCAGTGACATATAATATATAAGAGCAAGGACTCCTCATGAAAACAATGTGCACTAGCTACGTGTTGCACAGGGGTGACCTGAACAGGAGCCTGGCCTCCCACCTGCCAGCCATGCAGCCTCGGGTCATCCCTGACCTCTCTGTAAGAGGGAGGCCGCAATGCCCATCTCCTCAGGTTTCCGTGAATACTAAATATGAGAGCCTGACATGTAGCAGTTTCCTTGGTGGGAAGGCACCATGTACACATGCAAACTGTCTGCCCAAGTTCCCTGTACTGCAGGGTTAGGAGTGATGCAGGATGGAGAACAAGAGCAATGACCATGCTTCCCCACCTCCTCCCAAAGAAACATGTGACTCCTGGGACAGGATCAGACCCCTTGGCCAGGGCTCCCTCCTCCTGCACCTGGAGGGAGGGAGGGCTATCTCCTTGTGAAGGGCTGGGAAGCGTCTGGGGTTTCACTCTGCTCACATACTAACATCTGCTGGCCTGGGGACACTGGAAGGAGACACTAGACTGCTGGGCCAGAGACTAACAACATTGTAACTTGAACAACATAATCACACGTGGGTTCCTTTGCTCCAGGTCACAAGGGGGCGATGCGGAGGGCACAGGTGGATGCTGCACAAGCAGGGCATTTGCATCATAGTCGAGGATCCCAAGTTGGGGCTGCAGCAAGCCCAGAGCTCTGCGTGAGGGGAGACATGGCCTTTTCTACCTGGGAAGCCCAGGACAGACTGCTCCTGTGGTTGTGCACAGGGAGACCCAGGGACTCTCCTAACATTTTTATAGACAGATTTGGACAACTGGTATAGTTAACTCTTCACTAGTATCCCCCTAAAAGGCCAAAAGAAGTTGTAAAGAAATTTGGAGAGGCCAATATTAAGTATTATTTTCAGTTAAGTCAGACACTTATTTTTATCTTAACCATTCATTATATTGTCTATCATATTTGCAGAAACTTACTAACATTAATAACATTATTAACAATCTGCACTGTTTACTTTGGTAAACACCAAACCACAACCTTCCCCACACAAGTAGCTTCTTGGTCTATAAAGGCCTATGAAAATGTAATAAAACTGATGTAGAGGATCATGTGATTGGAGTTTGAGCTGCTGACTCTGGGAACCTAGTGCCATGAAGCTACAGATGGGGAACAAGAAAGCCTGCTGGAATAGTATCACTTTAGAAAGAGCACAGGCGGAGGGGACTGGTGAATGGTACAGATAATGACTGGTATCATCACTAGTGTTTACTGCAGCCACCTTCATTGAAAAGCTGGGTTCTTTGCTTAATGACATTTTCGTATTATAAGTGAGAAGTACCAAAAAATTAACTGAATGGGCAAGGGAAACCTTTTCACTTGGCAGGCCCCCGACTCTTCTTCAGCCAGGAAAGACTGCTGTAAGCCAGAAGGATGTGCAGAGAAAGGAAACGTTTTTTTACTCTCTGCTTAGGATTTGCCAACTAGGACATACTACCGAATCGTCAGTGCATTCTCACTAGATGATTTCTTGTTCAAACCCAAGGTAGAACTGGCTCAACAACAAGATTCTCTGACTCCTACTGGCACATCATTTAAAATACTTTTTCAATACCCAACTGTTTCTCTTTATAAAAGCTCTTTGTTTCAATGTTCTCCTACAACCCCCCCCCCCCCCCCAGGTCAGCTTTTTCTAATATCACTGTTAGAAAATGGGTAATTTTAGCTAAAAGTCTGCAACTATTTTCAAGAAATGTCTAACACATTTCCCTGCGGAAGAGCCATAGCGAATAGTTTTATTTTAGAGGAGGCAGCTGACCTCTGAATTCTAACTTGCAAAGATCATGCTGCTGTGTCTGAAGGAGGGAGAGCACCACTCACCTTTGTGAAAGCTTGGATGGCGTGGGCCAGGACAGCTTCCTCCACATCCACGGGAACCGGCTGCAGGCTCACCAGGCAGTGCAACACACAGAGGATAGTCTGGTGCTGGCCCTGTTTTGTTTTTTTCAGAAATTGAAATCAAACAAGTTTTTTTGAAAAATGCCTCAAGAAATAAACTGAAAGCAAGTGGAGAGCAAGGAACTGGCATGTGACCAAGTGCTTTTAACACCCCCCCACCACACTCTCTACCAAGGGCTCTGCCAGTGTTTACTGTCATGTGTCTGAATGCTTTTAGGAGCTGCTTAGCTATTACATGAAGCACAATTTCAAATGAAATGTTTTCCTTGAAGTGAACTGAAGGGATGATCCACTCGGTTTCCGGACACAATGGCATCAGTTGGGCTGTGTATGCTGACATGTCACGGCAACCAGGGACCTGCTCGCCCTGCTGCCTGCAGACCCTGGGGAGCACGGAGGGGTGTCAAGAGAGACGGGCAGACCCCGAGAAGCATGGGAACTTTAGGAGGTCTCTGACAAAACCTCCGGACTTGATTCCTGGGGCCGTGCACTTAGAGAAACAAAGGAGAAGCCTCGCCCTGCCCAGTGAGCTCCAGTGCACACAGCCCTCAGAGCCACTGGCTGCACCTGGACATCTGCTCAGACACAGAAACACCCAGGCACACAAGATCACAACAGTGACGCTGACAGAAGTAAGCCCCTGAAATGATGCCAACACCTACCCATGGGCATGGAGTGAGTGACGATGGAAGCACACGATGTGCCAGAACAGTGAGCTTGAGTCCTGCTCCCACACAGGCTGTGGGCCTGGGGCAGTATGTCACTTTCCCTTTTCAGTAAAACGGGTCCTCTACCTTTCAGGGCCAAAGGGGTGAACAAAGGTGAACACAGAATCTACATCTCAGCAAGGGCCTGGCCTGCCACCACCCAAAAGGGTAACTGCCTCTCTCAACAGCTCTCCAGCCTCATCTCTGTAATTTCCCTGCTGAGAAACCAGCAGAAGAGGACTCCCAATACAGGAAACATCTCATCTTAAAGCTGTGCGTCATACCACTGAGTGTTTGCCTGTCTGCGTTCACCAGCAGTAGTGCAGATGTGGAAATGAGACACATGGCAGCACAATAGGTAATGCAAGGCTGATTATGAGATAGCAGTTTCCTAAAATAAAAACAAAGCCTATTTTTAAATAAAAATGTAATATTTCTCTATGGTTAAAAATATTAAATTGTAAAAAGGATCTATTGTACAATGACAAGTCAGTCTCCTTCCCTCCCTCCCTAGATCTATTGTCTTCCTAGTACATTCCCTAAGGCAATCACCATTGCTATCTATTGGGGGGTCTTGTTTTCCTTCTATAGTCTTCTACCTTTTATACAAGGACTACATACATATATATGTGACACACTTCCCTTTCACAGAAAATACAAATGAGTGCATATTCCAACCTACCTCACGGCTCTTCACATTATACACTTATTCTATCTAATAAAAGAGTAATATGCAAATTAACCATCACTCCGCTATACACAAACCACACCCACTACCAATCAGGAGTGAGTATGCAAATTAACCCAACCAAGATGGCTGTGGCTATGGAGAAAGGAGGTTTGTGTTTCCCCAGCAATGGAAGAAGCCAAGCTTTCCACATACCCTGGCCGCCCCAGGCCTCCACTCAAGAATACAAAGTTTTCGACTGAAACTGGTTTGGCTCAGTGGATAGAGCTATGGCCTGCGAACTGAAGGGTCCCAGGTTTGATTCCAGGCAACGGCATGTACCTTGGTTGCGGGCACATCCCCAGTGGGGATTGTGCAAGAGGCAGCTGATCGATGTTTCTAACTATCTCTCTCCCTTCCTCTCTGTAAAAAAAAAAAAAGAAAAAGAAAAAGAAAAATCAATATATTTAACAAATATTAAGATGATCAATTTAAACCCAAATATATCAATAATACATTGAGTATGAATAGATCAAAATAAATAGTTAAAAGAAATGGTTGTCAGACTGTCAGATTAAATATAAACCACTCAATCCTATAAAAAAGATTAATTATAAATAAATGAGATTGAGACTAAAAGGATGGTAAAATTATATATGCCATGCAAAAACTAACAAAAAGAAAGCTGGTGTTATCTTCACTACTATAACACAAAGCAGACTTTATGACAAGAAGCATTACTAAACAGACATAAAGATGGACATTTTATGATGATAAAAGTAGGTCTAAAAAGAAAATACAATAATTCTAAATTTGAAAGAATCTAAAAACATGATCTCAAAATACATTAAGAAAAAAAAAACTGGCAAAATAAAAGAAATAGGAAAATCCACATCATGGAGACTTTAACACATCCTTCTCAGTAACTATAGAAAAAGCAAATACGCCATCAATAAGGATATAGATTCTAACACGATTAACAAATGACCGAATGGACATTGTGCCCAGCTAGTGTCAAACACACATTCTTTTCAAGCACCACAGAATGTGTTTATCAAATTGTCCAAAGTCTGAGACAAAAATCTACTTTCAAATTCAAATTTAAGAAAATTTAAATAATATAGGTTATTTCTTGACTAACCACAGTGGAATTAAGCTGATAATTAATACCAAAAAGATAATTAGCCAACATCCTTCTAAATAGTTCATAGGTTAAAGAAGTTAATGAAAGTGAGAAATCTCTGAAATGAATGACAATAATTTTTTTAAATACTATATATCCATTTTTACAGATGAATAACTTAACACCACACTTACAAGAGCTTTTATGGCTTTAAATGTGCATATTAGAAAAATGAGAAAGGCTCAAAATTAATTATCAGAACTGATCTTAAGAAATTAGAAAGGGACATTAAATTAAAAGCAAAGGAAGGTGAAGAAAGGAAAACATAAAGATCAGAAATTAATTTAATGAAAAGCAACCAGATGAGAGAATCCTTGACAGGCCTAATGAAATTAATAAGCCCCCCACCAAGACCAAGAAAAAAGGCAAAAACAAGAATAAAAAAGGACATCAACTGCAGTGCCTACAAACATTAAAATACAATAAGTGGATATTAACAACTTTATGCTGATATAATTGAAATGATAAATCAATTGAACTAATTCCTAGAAAAACATAACTTAGCAAAAGTATTAAGAGTGTCAGTAGTCCTATATCCTTAGAGAAATTGAATATAGCCTGATATTTTTTCATGCAGTAATTTATTACAAGCATTTCCTTATGTCATTAAATATACTTGTTCAGTGATAGAGGACATTTATTAGTTATGACTGGGGTTTCATAAACTTTACTAATTCTTAACAACATGACATTTGGTTAATTATATAACCTCTTAAGGCCACAATTTTGTTAAAAATACTAACCTCACAGATGGAATATCACATTTACTTAGTACAATGTTTAAAAGAATACAAAGTTTTCATCATAGAAGATAAATAAATCCCAACAAAAATTGTGGCAGCCACGAAGCTGGAAAGAGCAGAAGGCTTGAGTTTCCCCTGGTGATGAAAGAACCCAAGCTTCTCCAGCCCTGGCCTGCCTTGGCCTCCTCTCGAGGCTACAACGTTTCAATTATGGAAGATAAATCCCAGATACCAGGGCCTATGCTTGGGTCTCCGGGGACATGATCGGCCTGCAAACTACCACAGACCCCTTTCTCAGGCCTCCCCACATCCTAAGGGAACCCCAACCCTGATCCAGCACACCCTTCAGGGCAAACCAGCCCCCCCCCCCCCCCCTCCCCAATGCACCAGGCCTCTATCCTAATAAAATAGTAATATGCAAATTGACCACCACTTCAACACAAAAGATGGCTGCCCCCATGTGGGCAAAGATCCTGCCCCCATGTGGACACAAGATGGTCACCACAAGATAGCCAGCAGGGGAAAGCCCTTAGGAGGGACTAAGCCTGTAAGGGAGGGAAGTCAGGGATGACCAGGCCAGCAGAGGAGGGAAGTTGGGGGCAACCAGGCCTGCAGGGAAGGGCAGCTGGGCGAGGGGGAGAGGGGAGAGGGGGAACAAGACCTGCAGGGGAGAGCAGTTGGGGGGACCAGGCCTGCAGAGGAGGACAGTTAGGGGCAAACAGGCTGGCAGGGGAGTAGTTAGGAATCAATCAGGCCGTCAGGGGAGTGATTAGGGGATGATCAAGCTGGCAGGCAGAAGTGCTTAGGAGCAATCAGGAAGGCAGGCAGGCAAGCAGTTGGGAGCCAGCAGTCCTGGATTGTGAGAGGGATGTCCAAATTCCTGTTTAGGCCCGATTCTGGTGGTAGGATGGGGCCTAAACGGGCATTTGGACATCCCTCAAGGGTTCCCAGATTGGAGAGAGTGCAGGCTGGGCTGAGGGACACACTTCTGTGCATGAATTCCATGTACTGGGCCTCTAGTGGTAAATAAGTGGAGATGAATACTTGAAAGTGAAAATGGTTGATTATAACATATTCCCACAGTGTTAGAGTATTACCTGTCCATCAAGTTAACATTTATGAAAATGTTACAATAAACATGGAAATATACCAGTTATAATTTTGAGCAAAAATGAAGCATAAAGTTGTATATGAAATGATTTTTACCAAGTTAACATATGTGGTAATAAGTCTGAAAGACGTGAAAATGTTTAAAGTGGTTCTCTTGGGATTATGGGCATTTCTTTTTATTTTTATATCTTCTAAATGTTAATACTGGGTATTACTAGGAAAAACTTAAACATAGAAACTTAAAATTAGACCCAGATATGGGGTTCTGTGTTAATTTCCTTTATACATACATACACACACACACACACACACACACACACACACACACACACACACATATATATATCTATATCTATATCTATATCTATATCTCGTATTTTTCGGACCATAAGACGCACTTTCCCCCCCCCCCCAGAAGTGGGGGGAAAAAGTCCCTGCGTCTTATGGTCCAAATACAGCCTACACATATACTTAAAAAAAAAAAAAGTTTTTTTACTTGCCCGGCTCTGTGTGGTCTCTGTGTGCTTGCCCGGCTCTAAAATGGTTCTAAATGCTGCTGTTTACTTTACAGGGTTGATTACATGTGTTTATGACTGTGATGTTGGGTTTTAATGCAAATATTTTAGGACACTATTTGTTTCAGAATCTTTTTTTCTTCATTTCCCTTCTCTAAAAACTGGTGCGTCTTATGGTCCGGAGCGTCTTATAGTCCGAAAAATACGATATTTATTTATTTATTTATTTATTTATTTATTTATTTATTTAATGTGTGAACTTATGTAATCAACTAGAGGCCTGGTGCACAAAATTCATGCACTGGGTTGGGGGGTGGTGCCCCTCAGCCAGACTGCCCCCTCTCACAGTCCGGGAGCCCTCAGGGGATGTCCTACTGGCAGCTTAAGCCCACTCCCTGCAGGGAGGGGGCCTAAGCTGCAGTCTAGCCTCCCTCTGTAGGCGGCGACCGGGCTGATCACCCCGCTGCTGCTGCCACTACTGGCAGTCCCTTCACCATGAAAAAATGACAACTTTCGTCAGGCATTTTCAAGATGCTTCTTTCATAGGATATGACATTTCTTTCTTTTTTTATCCTCACCTGAGGATATTTTTCCATTGATTTTTAGAAAGCATGGGAGAGGGAAAGACAGAAACATCAATGTGAGAAGGACACTTTGGTTGCCTCCTGCATGAGCACTGACCTGGGCCTTGGCCAGGGAGGAGCCTGCAACCTATGTATATGCTCTTGATCAGAACTAAACCCAGACCCTGTGATCTGCAGGCTGAGGCTCTATCCACTGAGCAAAACTGGCTAGGGCAGGATATGACATTTCTTAGCTCTTCCAGCAGCAGACCTTCATTTTTTCCTCCAGGAGTGAGGTAGAAAAACCCTAGATCTCCTTCTTGATTTATTACCCAAGTTACCAAGACCACTGCGAGTGTTGTACCAGGAGTTTAACCAATGAGCAGTCAGAAAAGGTTTCCTCTGCAGCTCACGTGCGGAGGCTGGCCCTGTCTCCGCTCTGGGGCTGTTCAGGCTACCGCGGCACCTGTGGCTCGCTTCACCTCTCACAGTCCCCTCCTGCCCACCTGTGTACGCAGCCTCCTCCTGAGTGGTTGCGACATTATGGCATCCTGGACGATTTACCTACTATCTCTTTATATATATAGATTGCATCACCTGGTCCAGCAGCTACTTTACCTTTTCTAATAGAAACAGTGCATCTGCAGCATCTGCACATCTGTCAGCCAACATGCTCACATCCTCTTGGGTTATCACAGGCTCCTTTAGCTGCTCCACCCACGACCACATCAAACTGCACAGGATGAAAGGATCCCTCTCATGACATATTCTTTCCCAAGCTCCGTCTCGGGAATTTAGCTCTTTCTAAAAAGAAAGGAAGATAAAAAGAGAGAGAGGAGAGATAAGAAGGAAGAGAGAAGGGAGAAGAAGCAGGCACCATTTGACATCTGATGAACCTCAAGCTATCCAGAAGAAAGTCTCTGGAGAAAGACTGGGGCCCCTCCAAGACCACTTCCAGGAGGCGCATTGGGTTGACACTGACCCTCTCTAAGCCTCAGTTTCCCTCTATGAACTGCATCCCTGCCCCACAGACTGAGGTGTGCTAAAGCTCTTAGCTGCAGAGAACGGCTTAGTTAACCTAAGCTTTCCACTTCACGCAGAAACTGCAGGAACCGGTTAGGAAGGGAGTCTGCCTTTTCAGGGTCTTGTCGAACAAATGAGAAATATTTGCTGCAATGAAGTAGAATGGTAGATGAAAAGTTATAAATAAGAGGATATTTGCAAATTAACCTGGGACAAGGAAAAGCTTCTGACTGAAACTAAATTGTATCCCCCAAAAGTTGATAAATGTACTTTTCAAATTCTTTTTTAGAATCCTATGTAGAATTTAACGAACAATAAGCACTGTACCCTGAAATTTGATAGGGTGTAAACAACTAGGAAGTCTTACTAGTACTCCACAAGCCTGCAGGTGATTTTAAAACTTTGCCTCACAGAGAACAGGGGAAAAGTGAGATAAGAATTTTAATTTCCGACAGAACATTTAATTTGTTTTAGTAAATGAAATATGGTTGCAATAATAGTAATCATAGTAATTGCTGCCATTCATTCATTCACCCGTTCTATAATTATAGAACACTTTCCTTATGATAGGAACTCTTGATACATGACTTACCTGATTCTACAGCAACCCAATTCCCTCTACCGACAAATGTACTGGGGCTCAGGAAAGATAAAATAACTAGCCCCGGAGCCCAAATCGAGAAAGGGGCAAAATAGGCATTCCCACTAGGACTGCTCCACCCAGTCTGTGATGTTTCTTCATGCCATCAGGGTCCTCTGGCATAAATAAGTCAACTTGAGCAAACAGGCTGGGCAGAAACAACAAACTCAAAGACCCTCTTACTAAATGACTGTTACATCAATATGTTTTCTGAAATCTTCAGTGGAATTATGAAAGACATGAGAATGATGAAAAATATTAAACACATGAGTTGTAGCCTGGCTCTGGGGCATGCAGACCATGTGACTGCAAGCATGACATGTGACCCTTGGGACCCATAGTTTCCCCATCTGTGATACTTAATTCATAAGGACTATAATAGATTTAACAAAGAACCTGTGAATTATATCATCTGCCTCAAAGAATTATTGTGAAAATCACGAGATAAAAGACATGAAAGGGCCTAGTATAGGGACAAGGCGGCATTATGCCATTTAAATCATGTTCATTTTATTTTATTTAAAATATATTTTATTGATTTTTTACGAGAGGAAGAGAGAGGGATAGAGTTAGAAACATCAATGAGAGAGAATCATCGACGAGCTACCTCTTGCACACCCCCTCCTGGAGATGTGCCCACAACCAAGGTACATGCACTTGACCAGAATCGAACCCAGGACCTTTCAGTCTGCAGGCCGACACTCTATCCATTGAGCCAAACCTGTTTCGGCTCATGTCCATTTTATTAAAAAAAAATTTTTTTTTTCTTTCATTATAGCTGATGTACAATATTGTATTAGTGTCAAGTGTACAGCCCAGATTAGAGCTTTGTATAACTTACAAAGTGATTGCCTGATAAATCTAGTACCCATCATACACCATACAGTATTGATTATACTACCTATGCTGTACTTGACATCCCTGTGACTACTTGTAACTACCAATTTTTACTTCTTATTCCCCTCACCTTTCCCACCCAGTCCCCCAAGTCCTCTACCCTCTGGCAAGCATCAATATTCACTGTATTAGTGAATCTCTTTCTGTTCTGCCTGCTCTCCTTTTCTGATTTCACATACAAGTGAAATCATCTGACATTTGCCTTTCTCGGTCTGGTTTATTTCACTCAGCACAACACCCTCTAGGTCCACCCATACTGTTGCAGATGGTAAGAATTCACTCTTTTTTATGACTTAGTCATATTCCATTGTATGTATGCACCACTTCTTTATCTATTCATCTGTTGGACACTTATATTGCTCCCATATTTTAGCTATTGTAAATGCTGTTGCAATGAACCTACGGATGTATATGTCTTCTTGATTTAGTGCTTTGTGTTATTATGGATAAATATCCAGAAGTGTAATTGCTAGGTTTTTCCTTATCTCTTGTTATAGCCTATGTTTAAAGTCTATTTTGTCTGGTGTAAGTTTTGCTATCCAAACTTTTTTTTCCTTCATTGCCATTTTCATGAACTATCTTTTCCACACCTTTACATTAAGTCTGTGTCTTTCTTTTTATTTGAAGTGAGTCTCCTGTGGACAGCATATGTATGGGTCCTGTTTTGTTATCCTTTCAGGCACCTGATGTCTTTTGATTAAAGCATTTAAACCATTTACATTTAAAGTAGTGGATAGATATATATCTATTGCCATTTTATTATTCATATTTTTTATCTCCCCCCCCCCTTCTTCTTAAAGAAGACCCTTTAACATTTCTTATAATACTGGTTTGCTGGTGATGAAAATTTTTTGTTTTTTTCTTCTTGTATGGAAAGCTCTCTGTATCTGTCCTTCAATTCTAAATGATAGCTTTGCTGAGTGGAATAATCTTGGCTGCAGGTCCTTACTCTTCATCACTTTGAATACTTCATCCAATCCCTTCTAATCTACAAATATTCTGTTGAGAAACCAGCTGACAGTCTTACGGGAGCTCCCTTGTAAGTAACTAATTGCTTCTCTCCCCCTGCGCCCCCCTACATAAAATATATCTTTAAATTTGTCAAAAAATGGACCTCTAACAGGCAAACTACAAACTGGGGAATTTAACTGCAAAATACATGACTAAGTTGAACCTATTAAGAATTCTTATAAATTAGTAAGAAACAAGACAAGCAACTCAATGGCAAAAGCCTCATAGATATAATCCACAAAATACAAAATTAATAAAGAAAAATTTAAACATACCAAGTTTTGCCTATCACAATGACAAAGAGAGAACATAGCCAATGGTGGTATGTCAAGTTGAAAAAATGATTATAAACAATTTTGTTAGCAATATGATAAACATATAGCTTTGACAGTACATACTTTTGATTTTTTTCTAAGAAAAATGAAAATGAATAAAGATTTAGTTATACCACTGTGGTCAATACTAATAGGTTAAATAAATTATGGCAAACCCATTTAATGAAATACTGTGCACACATTAAGACTGCTGAAATATGACATGGAAAGACATTCACCACTTAAAAGTTAAAAAAAAAAAAAGTCTTCAATGAAGGACACAAAACAGTGTAAGCAGGGCTAACAAGTTTTTTTAAAATATAAAATGTGTACTGAGAAAGTCTAAGAGGATAGACAGCAAAGTATGTTTTCCTTTGTCTGCATTTCTACAATGTACACAGATTACCTATTTTGCTTACTTGTTTTTAAGAGAAGTTACTGAAATTTGAGTGCAGTAAAAAAATCTTAATTTCAAATCATCACAGTTTGAACTAAATTGAATATTTTCAGGTTACAAATGCAAAGAGAGCAACTGATAAAATTACTATAAGCTTTGTTCCAAAGGCTATTGTTGTATAATAAATAAAATGACAACCAAAACCACCTTTATTTTAGTCTTCAATGTTCTTTTCCCCCCCCAAGATAAACATGATTAACTTAAAAAATGGGATTTACAATGCCTCTTCAAAGCATTCCCCTTTAATGGGAAACGTGGCTTCACAGAATCCAGATAGTGAAAGGTTTTAAAAAATGATATTTTGTTGTCAGTATAAAACAAAACAGAATCTAGTGTAAGTCAAGGAAATCCATTCATTCTTCAGGTCTTTCTTCTCCAGGAACCAGCATTGTTACATTATTTCCATTTAGCAAAATCTGGCCTAATTTAGCGATCCTTCTTCTTTATGGTGTGATTTCAAACTCAGTGACATCTTCTAGTATCATACTGACAAAGTCATCAAATCCTAGAAGCGTGCCAACAATTTCCTTATCACTCTTCATCATGATGTGACTTCCTGATCCTATATACTTATCCACAAGCTCTAGAGGCATCAGCTGGGACGGGTTAGTGGTAGTGACAGCTGCCATGGCAACGCTGGAAGTGCATCCTAATTGCTTTTCTCTTGCTTTTAAGATTATCTCTTTGTCTTTAATCTTTAACATTTTATTTATTTTTGTTTTATAGCAGCTTTATTCATAATTTCAAAAACTTGGAAGCAACCAAGATGTCCTTCAGTAGGTGAATGCATAAACAAACTTTGATATATCCAATTAATGAAATATTATTTACCACTTAAAAACTCATGAGAAGCTATGAAGGAACTTTAAATGCACATTTATTAAGTGAAAGAAGTAAATTTAAAATGCCAACATACTATATTAACCCAAATAAATGACATTCTGGAAAAGGCAAAACTATGGAAGATCAATGGTTGCCAGAAGCAGCAGGGATAAGCAATGAATAGGTGGAGCATGGAAGGTTTTTAGGGCAGTGAGAATATTCCGTATAATACATAATGATGAATACATGTCATTATGTATCTGCTCAATGTACAATACAATAATCACCAAGAGTGAATTGTAATGTAAACTATGAACACTGGGTGACCATGATATGTCAATGTACCATCATAATTCCACAAAGTTCACAGTTTACACCATAATTCATCAATTGTAACAAAGGAACCACACTGGGAGGAGATGTTGATTATGGGGAAACTATATTTGTGTTGGGGGAAGTGGGTATGTGGGAACACTTTATGTTCTGCTCAACTTTTGCTATTAAAAAAAAAGTTGTCTGAAGTTAGCACAAGTAATATTGAAAAGCTTCTGCTCAGTGGTCAAGTGTCAATCTATGAACCACTTATAAGAATTCTTAATAGGTTCACATGCTCTGGTTGTGTGCTCAATCCCAAGTAGAG